TGCTTTTGTAAATTTAAGACATTGTATTTTAACTCCACTCCAATTCTAACAATGATACAATCTTATTTATTAAATAGATAAAAATTTATGTAGATTAATAAGATAAAACCAACAAATAAAGAAAACAAACTATGCTAGGCAACGTCACAAAACTCAAGAAGCCTCGCCCATTGTTGGGGATATCACTAGAGGGGCCCAAAGAAAGGCCCAAGAGAGGGCACATTCAGTCAAGAGTAGCCTTAGGCCATTATCCAGCAGAAGAAGCCCGCAATGGGCCCGCAAAGCCCACTCCATACCAGCCATGAGGACAAAGCGTTAAAGGTCAAAGAAGTCCAGACTGGCAAGTGGTCCCCCGCTTGTAGGCGCCTACAAGTCGTCAGAAGCCTGACAAGGTGGTTGGGGCTTCTGACAAGAATGTTAGTACAAAGCATTAAATGCGATGATGACGTGGAGGAGATCCACCTCGGGCTGGGTGAGTATAAATAGGGGCAGTTGGTAGCATTTACACAGGTTGGACTCTCTCACTAAAACTCATTCTCTAAGCACTTCTCTCTCTAGGAAGAGACTGACTTGATCGTCGGAGGGCTAACGGCCCAGGCGCCCCCTGTGTTCGTGTGTGCAGGCAGGCGCCAAGCATTGAGGACGTGGGCTTGGTGACGAGGCGTCAACGCTTAAACAAATGGCGTGCCAGAAAGGGGTATATAACCAAAAGTCATGAGTATGGAAGCGTCTATGAGTGGAGAAGGAGAGGAGATCACCGAAGACCACTATGAAAGAATGAGAGGTCTGACGCCCGAAATTGAGGAAGGTCAGGGAAGCGATGGCATGTTTCGAGGATCGAAAGGCGCCAAGGTCACTAAAAAGGAGTTGTTTAGGATCATTGAGGATCAGGACGAGGCGATCGAGGCGCTTCGATGAGAGTTTGAGGCCTTGAAGAGAGGAGAAAGGATGATTCCCAGCCCAGCCTCGAAGAAAAGAGAAAGGGTGGCGAAGACGGAAAACGAGTCTGGGCATCTTAGGTGCCCAAGCTTGTGGTGCCCACATGAACACACTGTTCCAAATGTCAATGGTTGGAACACAAGAATCCTGGGGTGCCTATCGCGTCATTGCTCTGTGAGGCAGCCTTTGGCGCGAAATATACTGATGGAGCCCGCAGGAACCAACATACCCCCTCTCCCAACTTATGATGGAACAACGGATCCAGATAACCACTTGAACGAGTACTTCACCAAGATGCAGCTTTACAACAGCTCCGACGCAACCCTGTGCAAAGTGTTCCCGTCGACATTCGCGGGTGTGGTCCTTGACTGGTACCAACAAATCAAGGAGGGGCGCATTGACTGTTTCGAGTAGTTTGCGTCGATGTTTTTGGCAAAGTTTGATAGCAGGAAGCGTCGCTCCCTAACCATAAGCGCCCTCTTCAAGGTCAAGCAAAAGGAGGGGGAGGCCGTGAGGGAGTTTTACGAAAGGTGGCTCTCAATAGCCTTGGCAGTAAAAGACGTCCAGCCATCAGCATTGGGAGTGTGCTTGAACGAGTGCACCACCAGCAAGGAGCTCTGCAGGGCGTTCGCCAAGAGGGACGTGGTGTCCACGAAAGATCTAGATCACCGAGTGCAAAGGGTGATCATGCTCGAAGAAACTTTGGCGGCCAGGAGGGCAGATAGGCGAAGGAAGAGGGGAGAAGAAGTTGAAATGGTTAGGAGGCCACCTCCCCCAAATGGGCTAGGGTACGCACCCATGAACCACCCCCACCGAGAAGAGCTGACATGGGGCGCCCGGCACCTAGAGGGGCGGGAGCCTTTGCAGAATACAGTGATACAGTGAAAAACATACTCCAACACGTCAAGGAAAAGGGATACCACATCCGATGGCCGGGCCCCATGAGGGGACAACCCAATGAACGAAACTTGGACCGATATTGTGATTTCCATCGGGAGGTGGGACACCATACGACCGACTGCTACCAATTGAAAACTGAGCTGCAAGGCCTGGCGGATAGAGGGATGCTCAATGACTTTGTCAAGAAGCCTGAAGAGAGGGTGCATCAAGCATGTGTAGCCGGCACGGAGCGAGGAGTGACGAAGCTGCCGCCCCCACCCTATGACCTCGACCAAGAGAAGGCGCCCGAACGAATACGACTCACCATAGAATCCATTTCAAGAACAATGGATTTGAGGGAAAAGCTAGAGGCAAACCGCCGGCTAAAGGCCATCTCTGCCGATGTACAGGAGGCCATTGACATAAGTTTCAACAGGGCTCCCGAGGAGGCGTGCATGCTTCCATCCATGGACGCCTTGGAGATACAAGGAGTGGTGGCAGGGTGCAAAGTAAGGAGGATGATCCTCGACACGGGGAGTTCCATGAACGTGTTACTCAAAGATACGGTGGCCTGCATGCAGCTATCACCTGAATTGATCAGACCATCGCAGTCAGTGCTAGTCGGATTTTCCGGGGCACCTGCTAGGGTGATAGGGCGAGTGCGCCTGCTGGTGACCTTGGGCGACGGGGAACAAAGGGTGGCGCGCACCATTGACTTTGGAATAGTGGACTGCCCATCACCGTACAATGCGATCCTAGGGAGGCCCCTCCTAGCCTTGTTCAACGGGGTGGCCTCTACTTGTCACCAAACCTTGAAATTCATCGCCCCGTAAGGAGTGGGAGTAGCCCGGGGGCGGGGCGTCCCGCGTTACGCGAGAGAAACTGGACGGAAGCGACGATGCACCGAGGTAAGGGTCAATGTCATGGAAACCGTGGCGGAAGAGGCGCCCAGAGCCGAGGCCGCCGACGAAGTTCACTTGGTAGCTTTGGACGAAGAGCTCCCAGAAGGCAGGTGAGGAAATCGGCGGAGGCGCCAGGTGAGATGAGAGAGCGCCTGATTGCTCTTCTGAGAGAGTTCGCGAAACTTTTCTCGTGGAGCGCCATGGAGATGTCGGGTGTTGCACCCGAGACAGCTGTACATAAGTTGGCAGTCGAAGAGGGAAGGAGACCAGTGCAACAAAAACGCAGGAACTTATCACCAGAGAAAGAGGCGCGCTCAGGGTAGAGGTGGACAAGCTCATGGGCGCTAATTTGGTCGAAGAAATTGCCTATGTCACTTAGTTGTCGAATATGGTCTTCGTGCCAAAACCGTCAAGAGATTGGAGAATGTCCGTGGACTATACGAGCCTTAATAGAGCATGCCCCACGGATTCTTACCCGATGTACCGCATGGATCAGTTGGTGGACTCCACGACATATCATGAGATGCTAAGCTTTGTGGACATGTTCTCTGGGTATCATCAGATCCCCATGGCGGAGGACCGACCAAGACAACATTCATGACACTTTTTGGGAATTTTTGCTACTGGGTCATGGCATTTGGACTAAAAAACGCGGGTTCCACCTATCAAAGAATGGTCAACAACGTCTTCCGCAACCAAATCGGTCGCAATGTGGAGGCCTATATGGACGACTTGATAGTCAAGAGTCGTAGACGCGAGGATCACTAGGAAGACCTGCGAGAAACATTCCAGGCCATGCGGGCGCATAGGCTTCGCCTCAATCCTCTCAAATGTGTATTTGGCGCCGAAGCAGGGAAATTTCTAGGGTTCATGATCACTAAGCGAGGCATCGAAGCCAACCCAATGCAGGTGAACGCTATCCTCAAACTTACACTCCCAAAGATGCCTAAGTAAGTGCAAGGCTTGGCAGGAAGGTTAGCGGCCCTGGGGCTCTTCATCCCAAGGTTCACTGATAAGGCCGCTCCTTTTTTCCGAACGCTCAAGAAGGCAGTGCGTTTTCAATGGAATGCTGAGTGCAATGGAGCGTTCGAAGAATTGAAGCAACTCCAAGCCGCCCCAACCATCATGACGGCGCCCAAAGCGGGTGAGACGCTGTATATCTATATTTCCGTATCAAAAGTCTTGGTAAACGCAGTCCTCGTCTCAAGGGAGGCCCCCTCCGGAGAAGACAAGTCGGTGTACTACGTCAGTCGTACCATGGTCGCACACGAAAGGCGATATGCACCCATCGAGAAGGCAACCACCGGGGAAACACCCGTCGCCTTAACCTACGGCAGCGAGGTTGTCATCCCAGCTAAGGTCAACCTCCCAAGTTATCGTGTTATCCATTATGACCCAAACGACAACGACGAGGCGCAAATCAGCGAGTTGGACATAGCAGATGAGTCAAGGGAGGTGGCAGCAATTCGCCCGGAGAAGATGAAGCGGCAAGTGGCCCGGTACTACAACAAGAAGATGCGTGCCCATGGCATTACTGGCGGCGCCCTGGTTCTCAAGCGTGATTTTCACCCGGATGCCCGCCAGGGGAAGTTGGCACCAAAATGGAAGGGCACATACCCGGTCCGTGAGGTGGTAGGTCCTGGAACGTTTAAGCTAGAACATACTGACGGCAAGGTGGTGAAAAGAACATGGAATGCGCAAAACTTATGAATGTACTGGGACAACGCCACAACAGGGGCGAGCGCCTCAACCTTACCACGGGCAGTGATGATACAGTGCAGTAATAGTAGTAAGTATTTTGTTTATAGTAACCAAGTGCGGCGGTAAGCGCGCTTATATTGTGTCTAAAGCGCCCATAGTGATAGCGCCATATCGTGTCCAAAGCGCCCAGTGTTGTAGAGCCCCGACCACGACTTAATGTTATGTCTACAATTTTGTACTAGTTGAAGCGCCCAACTTTGCGCCCAATGACTCGGAATGATTGTGTGGAAAATAGTTTGTGTTAGAATGTGTAAAGCGCCCGATCTCGCGCCCTATGTTCCAGCAAAGCATGTGAAATCGTTATAAGACTAGTCAAAGAGCCCAACTACGCGCCCTACGAGCCGTGTACGACGGTAAGGAAATTCCTATTAAAGCGCCCGATGAATGCGCCACTCGACCGAAAAGCGCCCATAACTAGCGCCCATTCTATGCACAAAGTACCAAACAAAGCCAATGCACAACGAGGATTCATAGAAAATAGAAACGTTTAACTTAAGTTGTACATAAACCTCAAAAGCATTAAAAACACAAAAGGGGCATTGAAAAATCATTCAGCCTCGGAAGTAGCATCCTCGGTCTGGGGCGCTTGCTCTTCAAGATGGGGAGGCGCCTGGTCTTCAGGAGTGCGAGGCGCCTGGTCTTCCAGAGCGGGAGGCGCATCTGCTGCTGGCGTCATGGGCTCCTTCTCTTCCCCCTCAACGTCCATCATATCCTGGATCACAAACTCGGCCATCTCCGACACATCCCAGACCTGGTCTGGATGATCTTGGTCGAGCTTCTTCTTCAAGATGCTCAGGCTTGGTAGGCAGGCGTTCGCGAACAAGTTCTTGCCTGCCTCTGACTCCTCGAATGTTTTGAGGGAAGTCTTCAGAGCCGCAAACTCCTTGCGGGCTGCCTTCGGCACCTTCTTATTCTCCCTTTGGCCGTCTCGCAGCCTACCCTTCTCCTCCTTGAGAAGGTCTATCTCGCTGACTTGGGCGCCCACCTCCCTCGACAGCTCCTCCTTCTCTGCCTCGAGGTTCACCATGAAACACCCTAACCCGGCCGGTTACTACTTTTACTAAAATTCCCTTAATAAATAAAATACTCAAATCTTAAATTGCAGCGAGAAAAATTTTCATAATAAAACACTGAAAGCTCACTCTTGTAGTTCAAAGCAAAGCCCTAACATGTGGGCAAATTAAGCTCAAACTTTAAAAACTCAACTTGATCTCCAGTCTATACTGATAATCATAAAACATAATAACTAACTAGTCTCAAGTGTTGCTGCTTGTGTGAAAAAATCTGACTAGACATCCTCTGTGACGCTCGTGCCGTCCTCCTCTAGCTAGCTTCACTCGAACTGTTTCTCTCGATCCCGTTGCTCTCTAACTGCTCCTCTAGCTTCTTCCTCTTCAAACCGGTGAGTTAGTTGGGGTCAGTCTACGCCCTTACGTATTAAAATCTATTACTTGAGTATTTTACTTTAGATACTTAACTTAAGCTGGTGGGAGTTGTTTGTACTTCCACTCTTAAAACTCCTAATTCTTAAAACTGTATCGGAGTTACTGTTACTCTCCATTCTTAAAGCTCAAATCTCGACTTAAATACTTGAATGACACGGGGATCCCTCACTAGCTAGTCCGTTTGCCAACTCATACGTATGAGAAGCCATCCAGACTTTCCTTAAACTTAAACTTAGTTAGGGGAGTCATAACGATTCATCCCCCTAACATCTTAAACTTATCGTGGTGGCTCTTAACCACGATTCTCAAGAGCATAACTGCTGCTCACCTTAAAAGTCTCAAGAGCATAACTGCTGCTCTGTCTCAAAGATCTCACGAGCATAACTGCTGCTCTATCTGAAAATCTCAAATAGCAACGGACTGGCGCTAGTGACTAAAAACACTTAAAACGACTTCACCTTCTTGAAGGTGAGTTACTTCTTAAAAAGAACTTGTTTCTTAAACTTTAGCAATAAGTCAAACATAACGCTTAAAGGTAAATAGCACAAAATCACCTCATATCACCTCAAATAGCACAAAATCACCTCAAATCATAGCTCAAGCAAAGCACGAATAATCAATCGTAAACATAACCAAGTAACGGTAACCAATTCGCTAAAATACTTAAAATCATAATACTTAAAAGAATACGTAAGGCGTAGAATTTATCCCCTTTACACTCACCTAATTGGTTGATCAAGTTGACTGATCCGATTTTACTTCCTCCTCCATCACTTCTCGTTTTCCATCTTCTTTTGTCATTCCCCACATCACCTAATCCATCCATCCATGTATACCATTCCCAGAAATGTTAATGGACTTCCATCCAATGCAATAACCCATGCACGTGTAGTGATTGAATTGTAAGGGGGAAGCCTTTGATTTAACCTGTAACCGAGAGCATGAGGATGTTCAAATTTCGCTTTCTCCTCTCTGATCCCAATAATGGTGATGCTAGGCACAAGGACATTGCTGGCGCTTCTCTCCTGGTCCAATAATTCAAAGCCCACCCCATTTTCCACTCATGGCCGAGAGCTGCTGTAGGGGAAGAGAGCGAGCTGCTCTACCTCGTTTCATCGGGACCAAGTAGCACAGGTCACTGAAATTCGATTATCACCCAGGGATTAATTCAATCCAAGTTGTCTTCTAAATGGCAGCACTTATTTCTCTCGTCAACTTGTGGTCACCGCTTCGTCGCTTGTTGTTGGCCTCGGGAGGTACGGCCTGCTTTTGGTCATGGAAGAAAAGTATAGTACTGGGGGAAATTCGAGGCTGGAGATTTGTGATGTCTTACGAAGACGAAGAAAACGGGGAGAAGGCAGTTGCGGCGGGTCTCGGCGCTGATGTGTTGAAGCGGCGGTTTGTGATATGTGCCAGCGGAGGTAAAAACAAATGGAATTTATTCTACTTAGCTAAATGATGCGAGTAGGGTGGGGTAATTAGGGTAAGCTTAGGTTTAATTGACCCGGGGAATTTTGGGAATTTGAAAATTTTGGGGTGAGTTTAATCCGAAACTCAATTAATGTCCGTAACTTTCTCATTTTATGTCGAAATTCGACACCGCTTGAACCGATAGTTCACATTTTTAATCCTCATCGATAATACGGTGGAACTTGACCCAAGGGTGTAATAGTCAATTTGACTTTTGGGAAGAGCGGGGTGTAACACACCACCTTCTCCAGCAAGCCCCTACGCTCTTCTTCAAACTCCGCCTCGCACTTGTGGCGCTCCTCCTCCAAGGCGCCCTGCAGCCGCGACAACTCCATGGACGCCTTCAGATGAGCATCTTCACACTCTTTCACCAGCTGCTCGTGGTGCATGGACGCCGTCTCCAAGTCATCCTTCAGAGCGAACGCCGAAGTCGAGGCCGCTAGCGCCTCCTTCTTGCACTCTAAAAGCCGGCAGGCGCCTCTCTCCGCGAAAAGGAGGATTTGTGACAACAAAACCAAGGACTCAAAAAAAAAAAAAATACATGCAAGGAAAACTTGACGAAATATGACAACTGGTACACTTACCTTGGCGCCCACTTGGGCTAGCTCCGCAAAAAGGTGGTCTCCATTTACCTCCGAGGGCACCTGCCACATCTTGGCGGCAGACATGGCAAATCCCATGGCGCACCCACGGTCCACCGCGGACAGTGGAGAACAAGGAAGGGCGATGCGCCCGACCTCAGTTCGCAGCGGCTGTAGAACAGGCGGGCGCCCATCGGGGCCAACGAAGCGCCCCTCTTCGTCCAGACGAACGCAGGCGCCTTACTCCTCAGCAGGGCTTTGGGCCGCAGTTTTGACCTTCCCTCTATCGCTTTCACGAGCCTTTTTCCAACCACGAGGCAGGGGGAGCCTGCTCTCTTTTCACGCCGAACTAGAGGAGGCGCCTCCTCCTCTGATTCCTCATTATTTGGAGTTGGGTCGAAGGCAGGCTCGCCAACGTCCGGTTCGGGAGCAGAGGACGCCACACTAGCAGTCTTGGCGCGAACAAGCGCCTTGGACGGGGCCGCCTTTGTTGGGGCATTCTTCTCTGCCTTACCCTTCTTAGAAGCCGGAGGTGTGGGCGCCTGAGGGCGAGCGGCAGCAGTGGTAGCAGGTGCCCTGGCCGTTATCATGGCCAGCCGACTCTTGATAAACTTCCCGATGGAAGTGAAATCCGATCCTGCATACAAACGCAAAGATTAGCACAAATTATTAATGGGAGCCAAAGTAGCTACTAAGAGGCGCCCACACACCATCATTGTAAAATTCCTCCAACACTCTAATTCGATTCTCATTGATGCGAAGGTTTATCGGGTGCGTGCTAATAAGCTGGGCGTCTCTGGTTTCGCCTGACGAAAGATGGACCTTCGAGTTGAAGCCCTCAGTGTTGCCCAGTGCCTCACAAAGGCACCCCCACTTTCGAAGAAGGAGTCCTGGTAAGCCTTCACAAAGAAAACCCCGTTGAACCAACTACGCCCCAACTTGGGGCACCTAACCACAAAGTGGTAGGGGAGCTTGGATCGCTTCTTCAGGGAAAGGCAGTTGTCAAGTGGCACCACGTTGAAAAACCACCTGAAAAGTTTGAAAGTGGGCCTCACGTTGTGCACTTGGCACTTCAGCTTAGACAACACCACCACCACCATCACCGAGGGTGATAGGCGCCCCAACAGGCACTCGCACATCGTCAGAATCCCCTACAAGATGGGGTCTATCGGAAAGCCTAACCCAAATCTAAAGTACTCCTGGTAAGCGCCAATCCACTTGGGCCAGCACACACCAACCCTAGAGATGGGTGACGGAGGCGCGTACCACCAGTCACGCAGGAGCTGAAGGCTGGTCACCAATTCATGCACTCGCGTCAAGGTCACCGTCGACTGATGCTCCGGACCAGCCTCCTCGAACGATAGGCTGGTGGTCTCGATCGGCAAATGATCGGGGGGAACGCCTTCTCTCAGGTGGTGATCTTATATGAACCATCGGCAGGCATGTAACCCAAGGTGGAGGCGCTCGCTCCTCCCGCAGATTCAGGCGCCCTTTCTAAACCAAAAACCGAACTAGGCGTATAATTTTGAGTCAGAGTAAGAGTCTCGCTCACGCCTAGGTATAGGGTAAAAGATCCAAAGAAAAGACTACCAAAAGAATTAGAGGTCCGCAACAGGGCGCTTACCAAAATTAGAGGGACGGTTGGAGGAGCCTGCACCAGAGTTTGAGGGGCGAGCGGGGGTGGCACCCACTTCATTGCCGAATGGACGATTGGGGAGGCGCCTGCCTCAGAGGCTCCCACATCAGAAGTTCGGTCTTGAGGAGAAGCCATATGCTCGAAGAGTGGAGAAGAAAGGATGGCGGCGGAGTACTAAGAGTTAGAGAGAGGGCAGAGCGAATCTAGAGAGAGGGCAGAGCGAAGTTAGAGAGAGAGAGAGTAAATTGAAGAGAGGCTAGGGGTATTTAAAGGGAGGAAGGGCGTGCATCAAGGATTGCGCCACCTGCCACGTGTCACCAAATCACGGGCGGGCCTTTGATCTTCCCCCATTTTTGAATTTTGAATCTCTGATGCTCTAAAACACAACACCTAACAATGGCCAAGTGTAACCAATGAAAGGGACTGTAGTATAGTGGCACAAGTAATAAATATCGAATCCACAGGTCTCTAGAGTTACTATTACTCAGCTTCAGTTCATTATCTAGCAAACTAGATTAAGGATTGATTAACTAAACTACTCTACTAACTAAACTAATTAAAACTACTAATTACAGTTTGGGAACTCACTTAGGTATGATTCCCCCTAGCTCCTCAATTAGTTCCAAGTTGTAATTCCTTTTGGTTGTTTTACTGTTGATTAAACTGCGGAAGATCCGACAGTAGCTTGGAATCTCTTAAGCTGACCAAGCCCTCTCAGTCTAACTATCCGGCAGACGACTAGTCTTCACCGGGATAGAAAGCTGAAGCAATAAGCACAGAACTCCACTACTGGAATTGGATTCCAGTACAAAGCAGTAAATTGGCTAACTCTCGTATAGCCAATCTCCTACTACCGAATGATGAGGCTCTAACAACCTAATCAGATTCTATCTATCTCAGGTTGCAGCAGAAATCAGGAAAAGTTGATCAGACTTCAATTGACTCAATAAACATGCATCATTCGATTATAATCAAACAATATAGCATCCAAAACTTCATACAAGAAAGATCCTAACTCATGGAACTAGGGTTCCTCAAAACCTAAGTGAAGGGAAGTTACTCCATAGAGAAGAGAGAGACTGCAGAAATCTGATCTAGATCTTCAATCTCCATCTCCAAGCTTGATTCCCGAGCTCCAATGGCGAAGAAATCCTCCAAAATAGCTCTAAGAATGTTCCCAAGTCGCTCTCTCTCTCTAGGGCTCGTCCCTTGGGTGTTTGGGATCCCAAAACCCAGCTCTCCCTTTCCTTTGGCTCTAATCTGCCTCAAAAATCCGATTCTGGGCGAATTACGGGCTGAATTACGGTCGTAATTCTTCCATGCCCTTATTTTGCCCAAAACACGCGTTTTGATTAAGTTTCAGCGCACCCAAAGCTCCTCTCGGCAGTGAAATTACGGGCATGGGAGGGTAAATTACGGTCGTAATTCTCCTGCCCGTAATTCTTCCTCCACCCCTGTTCAAAGCTTCATTTCTCCCTCGTCCGGACTCCGAATCAGTCGCCGTTTGAACCCAGACGCTCGTAGTCTCGTCCTCTTTCTTTTCATAACAAACTTCCATGATTCTTTGTCCATAAAGTGAGGTAGAAATCCATTCTTCTTCAGGTCATGCTCATGTTTCTTCTCCCTAATCGCCAATTGATCTCTGATTGACTTGAAACTTGCGCCTATGCTTCACTTTATTTGCTAGGGCCTGAAATATGACAAAGGAACACAACCTAGCATAAAATAGGCCAAAGAAGCGATAATGAAAGCTTAAACGATCAAGAAACAAAGGGGAAAACATGTGCAAATATCGAGTCATCAAATTCCCCCACACTTAACCGTTTGCTTGTCCCCAAGCAAACCTAACTCAAACCAATGCAGCTCTCCAGACCTCTATATCAACATACAACCTCGATCGTCGGTAGAGGATTTCCTAGATCATATAGCAGCTTACGAGGTCAACTGGTCTTCTAAGACGTTCCCTATCTCTCTCAATGCGAGTACTAGACTCAAGCCAGGATCATGAGAAGAAGTAGAAGTAAGACAGTCAGTTCATGGATAAAGGGACTCACACCATTCACTACCAAGGACTCGTTGTACCGGGGTGCTCTTTCACTTCATTTCACCGTTGGAACCCCTTTTTCTCACTTTCATTTACATTTTTTCTTTCATTTGGTGGGGTTCCAACTGCAGTCTTTTGCACGGTCGACCCTTATTAGTCGAGCAAGAGCAATTTATGTACATCTGGAGCTCGCCAGAGTACTTCTTTTAACTCCTTTTCCTCAACTCGTGCGGAGGGTCAATAATATTATGGGGGGTCGGAAGCTCTATCCGTGCCCTTAAAAACACATCCTCAAGTAGGCAAACCGTTCAACGGGTGAAAATTTTACTTGTACTAGAGACAGCTTAGCTTCACCTTGTAGGAGTACCCCACTAAGGATCACTAAAATCTCTTCCAAAACCCAATTTTGTGCAATGAACGGTGCCGCACACGTTGGGCTTACCCCATGTTTAAGATTTTATGATTTTGACATGGAGGACCAACTGCTTTTCATTTTTTACATGAGCACCCTGTTCGATACACAAGTCCATAACACAATCCAAACAGAGTCACCATTACCACATGAATTCAACGGTCTTAGCTCCACTAATTCACAAAATCAACTGGCACAACAGAGAGCTAGATAGGAAAAATCTTATACTTCAACATCCTCCATAGTGCTACACTACCTCCCTAGGTTGCACATTACTATAGAGACTGTCAATTCAAAGCATACTGAGCAGGCAATTTGCAAGGAAACACTTACTTGGAGCCCTCAAATTTAAAAATTTGGACAGTGGACTAGGCTCCAAGCACACAAACAGCCAAACATTCACCCGCATACATAATCGAACACCCCCCCACACTTAAGCACGACATTGTCCTCAATGGAGGAAAGATAAGGAGGGTAAAACGAAGTTACCAGATCAAGGGTGAATGATGATGTACGGGTCAGGCAGTGCATTCCAGGAAGAGAGAGTAATAAGAACACAAACACCACACAAAATCTCACAAAGGTTGATTTATTGACTCTAAAATCAAATAACAAAACTGACTCAACCGAGGAGAAATAGAGAAAGAAATGCAAACCGACTGGTTGGGTTGCCTCCCAACAAGCGCTTCTTTCACGTCGTGAGCCGGACGATGGCTCCTAAGTTTCGGTCCATGCTAGAACCTCCTTGAAGTTGAGGTTCTCGTCGATGAGGTGGAGTCTCAAGTCACGAGCATGTGGTGTGGCAGGTGATGAAGGCTCATGTACTTGATGCAGATGAAGTCTCCACCCTCGAGACCTCTTCTTCTCTTCTCTCGTCTCATTGCCCCAAACCAGAGATGACAGCATCGACCGACCACCATCGCGTCCACCAAGAGGGACCGATGTCGATGTGGCCTTGGTCTTGCAAAGAGACACTGCAAATGGGTCCTTGCCAAGCAGTTCCTCAAAGTTTGGTGGGGATATTACTTGCAACTCATGGCCGGTGCATGCCTCTTCCACCTCAACTTCATCCTCAGCCTGGACACCAATTGCTTCCCCAACCCCCCTTCCTTCTTCAAAATGTGGTCTCTCCCCTGGGAAAAGATCAAGAACCACCTCTTCTTTTCTTTCTTCCTCATCATCCACAACTTCCTTCCTCATCCTTGCTCGCTCTTCTTCTTCTAGAACAGATTGGAGAGCAAGTCGCCAAGCAATTTCTTCAATGGGATCATCTTGCATCTCCTCGCACGGGCCCAGCATGTTAGAGCATAAATGAGGAAAGATGTGGTCTGCAACCAAAGGACTTTCCTGATCACGGTTATCATGGGAGTTCTCTGTGATAACTTCTGTATGCTCCTCAACGCTCCCATAGCCTTTGTCATCCTCCACCTCTTCTAGCGTGGTAGCAGAAAGGTGATCTTGAGCAAGATGTGAGCAAACTTGCTTCACCCACTCTGTTTGCTTCGCTGAACGCTGAACAGTCTCCTCCATATCATGGAGAAATGAAGGATCGGAAGTGGCAAGGGCTTTGATTTGAAGATCCATCTTGGAGCATGATTTCTCAGTGTCTCGAGCAAACTGCTCCACGAGAAGCCTTAATTGTTCGTTCGGATCCTCCAGTGAAGTGTAGCATGGCTCTGCAGAGTGGCCCGTGAAGGCCGCCATGGGTAACTCCAGCTCCGATGGCCCGTCTGGTTGTGGGAGAAAGTCTTCTTGGTAATGAGGTTGTTCTTGATATGCCCAGGGGTCTGATTGTTCTCCGTAGTAAGGGGGTTGGTACTGGAACCCGAATCCATAGTCTTCTCCTCCTTGATTTCTGTAGGGAGTCGCGGGGTAATACCACTCGGATGGTGGTGGATACCCCCACTGGTTGGAGAAGCCACGCGGATCCATGATTCAGATCTGCACCAACAAAAACAAAAAAACAAAAACACCAAAGTGAAAAGCAAGGGTGGAAAAGAAAAGAAAAACGCTAAAATAACAAACTTCTGCCTTTCCTAATAATCTAGAAAGTCCCCGGCAACGGCGCCCAAAACTTGATGCTCTAAAACACAACACCTAACAATGGCCAAGTGTAACCAATGAAAGGGACTGCAGTATAGTGGCACAAGTAATAAATATCGAATCCACGGGTCTCTAGAGTTACTATTACTCAGCTTCAGTTCATTATCTAGCAAACTAGATTAAGGATTGATTAACTAAACTACTCTACTAACTAAACTAATTAAAACTACTAATTACAGTTTGGGAACTCACTTAGGTATGATTCCCCCTAGCTCCTCAATTAGGTCCAAGTTGTAATTCCTTTTGGTTGTTTTACTGTTGATTAAACTGCGGAAGATCCGACAGTAGCTTGGAATCTCTTAAGCTGACCAAGCCCTCTCAGTCTAACTATCCGGCAGGCGACTAGTCTTCACCGGGATAGAAAGCTGAAGCAATAAGCACAGAACTCCACTACTGGAATTGGATTCCAGTACAAAGCAGTAAACTGGCTAACTCTCGTATAGCCAATCTCCTACTACCGAATGATGAGGCTCTAACAACCTAATCAGATTCTATCTATCTCAGGTTGCAGCAGAAATCAGGAAAAGTTGATCAGACTTCAATTGACTCAATAAACATGCATCATTCGATTATAATCAAACAATATAGCATCATTCGATTATAATCAAACATGCATCATTCGATTATAATCAAACAATATAGCATCCAAAACTTCATACAAGAAAGATCCTAACTCATGGAACTAGGGTTCCTCAAAACCTAAGTGAAGGGAAGTTACTCCATAGAGAAGAGAGAGACTGCAGAAATCTGATCTAGATCTTCAATCTCCATCTCCAAGCTTGATTCCCGAGCTCCAATGGCGAAGAAATCCTCCAAAATAGCTCTAAGAATGTTCCCAAGTCGCTCTCTCTCTCTAGGGTTCGTCCCTTGGGTGTTTGGGATCCCAACACCCAGCTCTCCCTTTCCTTTGGCTCTAATCTGCCTCAAAAATCCGATTCTGGGCGAATTACGGGCTGAATTACGGTCGTAATTCTTCCATGCCCTTATTTTGCCCAAAACACGCGTTTTGGTTAAGTTTCAGCGTACCCAAAGCTCCTCTCGGCAGTGAAATTACGGGCATGGGAGGGTAAATTACGGTCGTAATTCTCCTGCCCGTAATTCTTCCTCCACCCCTGTTCAAAGCTTCATTTCTCCCTCGTCCGGACTCCGAATCAGTCGCCGTTTGAACCCAGACGCTCGTAGTCTCGTCCTCTTTCTTTTCATAACAAACTTCCATGATTATTTGTCCATAAAGTGAGGTAGAAATCCATTCTTCTTCAGGTCATGCTCGTGTTTCTTCTCCCTAATCGCCAATTGATCTCTGATTGACTTGAAACTTGCGCCTATGCTTCACTTTATTTGCTAGGGCCTGAAATGTGACAAAGGAACACAACCTAGCGTAAAATAGGCCAAAGAAGCTATAATGAAAGCTTAAACGATCAAGAAACAAAGGGGAAAACATGTGCAAATATCGAGTCATCAATCTCCGAAAATTCCAATTTTGAATTTTGGAAATTCGAAATTCAAATTTGGAATTTTCGGGGAATATTTAGGATAAAAACTCAAACGCCCGTCCGTGAGGGGGGCACCCAGGCACCCAGACACCCAAATGCAGGTGCCCATCCCATAGCGTATTCCAAGTCGTAGCCACGAGGAGGGGGCCGATAGCTGATGTAGGCGCGACGGAGCGGTCAGAACGTAGGGCACCTTTCGGGAGGTGGGCATGAATCCAAGAAAATTCGGTCACATGGATGGGCGCCCGGGCACGAGATGAATGTTGGATGACGGCAAGGGCCCAGGCGCAGAGAAACTATACAAGGGCGGATAACCGGGCATCCAACGAGAGACTGTGGCAAATGCGAAGCGCCCTGCCCAGAGGATTAGTTAGGATCTCAAGTAAGAAACCATGAGCGCCTAACTGGGGGGCAATTGTTGGGGATATCACTAGAGGGGCCCAAAGAAAGGCCCATGAGAGGGCCCATTCAGTCAAGAGTAGCCTTAGGCCATTATCCAGCAGAAGAATCCCGCAAAGCCCACTCCATACCAGGCATGAGGACAAAGCGCTAAAGGTCCAAGAAGTCTAGGCTGGCAAGTGGTTCCCCGCTTGTAGGCGCCTGCCAGTCGTTAGAAGCCTGACAAGGTGGTTGGGGCTTCTGACAGGAATGTGAGTACAAAGCATTAAATGTGATGATGACGTGGAGGAGATCCACCTCGGGCTGGGTGAGTATAAATAGGGGCAGTTGGTAGCATTTACACAGGTTGGACTCTCTCACTAAAACTCATTCTCTAAGCACTTCTCTCTATAGGAAGAGACTGACTTGATCGTCAGAGGGCTAATGGGCCTAGGCACCCCCCTCTGTGTTCGTGTGTGCAGGCAAGCATCAAGCATTGAGGACGTGGGCTTGGTGATGAGGCATCAAGGCTTAAAAACCCATAAATACTGATCATTAAGAAGTGTCGAGCGAATATGACACCTAATCCATGGTATGACTAGCGCATCGTTACAATGCCAATGTCAGGACAAATTCACTATTGATGTATTTCAAAAAGTAAATAAAAATTGTAATGTATGACTTCGCCCCAATTCCGTTGTACTCGCCAAAGAATGTCCTGCCCTCGAAGGATAAATGGCCTCGAAATGCTCCGGATGGATCCTATGAAACGGCCGTGCTGCTCCTTCCTAGCCCGTAGGTCAAGATCCATCAACGATGTTATGACTCATGAGTGGTATATTGGGGGTGGTAATCCAATCCTATGTCAAAAAGATGCAACCAATTCGCAGGTGAGGGCAGCGGATGGACCATTTGATCGTATCGTCCAATTGAAAAATGTGTTGAAGTTTGAGTAAGGGCAATTGTTGCGAGAAGCAATGAAAGATGATTTTTGTGTGTGAAGGTAGCGACAAGGATAATTAATTTGAGAAGGTTGGTCGTCGCGAGATGCGAAACGGATTTTAGAGTAATCTCGATCTAGGCGACCGAAACTAGGATTAAAACAAGAGATGAGAGGTGATGGGAGGCCAATTCAAGCAAAGAGACGGAGTAGGTAGTTCCCCTATTGCTCGGTCGGAGAATATATTATAAGGGAAATGTATGCAGATTTTTCTTCTTCTTTTTATTTAATTGAAACAAAATGATAAAATCCAGACAATCAAGTTAATGGGGGGAAAAATGTCACATAAGCAAAAACCCGTTACTCCAGCTAGCAACTACGACGAAATTATTGAAATTATTGACGAAATGACTATATTTATGTATTTTTCAAAAAATTACTATTAATGCCACATAATGCATACTTATCACTATCTAAGGTATTTTGCGTACAATAATCATAAATCAATTAACGCATTTTGTTGAGACTACTGGTTTAATGTTTGGAAAGTTAAAGATCCTTCCATTTGGTCATTTTCCGATGTCTCATTCTAATCCTACCACTTTAACATTTAAACCTCAGTATTTCCTCTTAACAACTCATTGTCTGATTCTCTTCCAACTCAAAGAGATTCCTTTTAATAGGATGTTCTATGTAAAGTAAGAAATAATAAATTGACTATACAACCATGAAAAGGGATGAGATACGGTGAAAACCCCATTAGGTGGTTGTGAGATTGACAACACATTTTATAACCATAGGATCCATTCTCTCTCTTGTCTCTTTCTTCTTCTTTTCAAATCAATGGTACAGATTGGATTAAGGGTATTTTTGGACGAAAAAATTGACCACACTAGATTATTACCCCTATTAATACCTAAAACCCTACATTCTCTCTTTCCTCTCTCTTTCTCTCTCTCTCTCTCTCTCTCACGCAATCTTTCTTCTTCCTATTCTTCTTCTTCTTCCTCCCATCTCTTACCTCTCTCTCTCTCTTTATCAGCTGCCACCACCGTCGTCGTAGCCGTCCTGCCGAACCGCCACGCCCTCCGCCTCTCATCACTACTGCAGCCCTCCCGTCGTCGAGTCCTCCGCCTCCGAACACTGCCATGTCCCTCGCCCCACAGCCATCGCGACCTCCTCCTCCCACCACCACCGTCGTCGCAACCCTCCCGCCGCCCTCTGTCTCCCACCACCACTGTCGCCACGAGGTCATCGCCTCTCCCCTGCCTTCCCCTTTCGTCATCCCTGATTTTTTTTGCCAGATCTGTGATTTTTCATATTTCAGATCTGATTTTTTTTTGTGCTAGTCTCTAGTGGTACACTACCAGTGGCAATGGTACCGTTACCAGTGATACTGGTACTGGTACCGCTACTAGTGGTACTGGTACTGCTAATGGTACCGCTACAAGTGGTAATGGTACCGTACCACTAGCACTGGTACCGTACCACTAGTACTGGTACATTTTTTAACGCACTAGTAGCGTACCACTAGCATTGGTATATTTATTACCAGTAGACTAATGGATTGGTACACTTTCTAACGCACTGGTACATTTTTTAGGTTGTCGGAGGAAGTCTGCCGGAGAAAATTCGCTGGAGAAAAAGTCTGTCTATCGAAGCGGAGTGGCCGCAGGAGAAAGGAAGAGAGAGAGATAGATAGAGATATTAATGTATAGGATTTAAATTTAAAAAAATGTATTTAATATGTGTTTTTAATTCCCAATCTGATTAACACAAAAAAGGTAATTAATATATTCATTTTTCATACCCAAAATACCCTTGGTTGTCAATTTGACAACCCTCTTAGGGGTTGTCACCGTATCCCGTCCCGTATTAAAACGAAAAATGAAAGCAAAATAGGTAAGACTTTGGTTTCATGATGTAGACTTGCACAACAGAAGTGGGTATTAAATGATGGTTGCTCATTAAGGATATTTATTGAAAACGACCAAATGCCTTATACATATAATTCTACTTTTTGTTACATAGTTACATTCAGGTGGTGGTATATAATAAATTTGTTTTATAATGTATATTTGCATATATTAAGGCATGTCATTGTCTAATCATACGTGGATATATATTGGTAATAAATAATATACTGAAATATCATCATATATTGGTGCTACCTAGTCAACAACATTTAGGGAATGCAAAACGGACACGTTTGGTTAACAAAAGTGTTTGAAAATTCTCATTTTCGTACTACTATACACATCTTTCACTTTTTCCGTTCGTTTGATGCTTTATGTACTTAATACGTATAAAAAATATATAGCACGTTTAATACAAATATTTGTATCAAAATTTTAAGCGCACTATTACTTTAAACTTACTTATAAGGATCTGTAAGTAATATTCCATAACGTTTATGTTTAAGAAAAAAAAAACAATATTAATCATCTCATTAACTGCGTCCAACCTAATAATACTTTCAATATTTGTGTTTTCACCTTCTTGTTTGTATTACAAAAAAAAAAAAGAGGAAAATCTAGATTAAACTCGGATATATATTTTCTTTTAGGTACTCAATATTATGAATCCAATTTAAACAACCTCAGCTGTTTATGGCGGTCACTACAGTCATTTGGAGAATCTAGCGATCACAAAACTAGGTTGTTTTTTAGGGCAAACCGTTTGGGATCCCAGGTTTAATGCGACAGTTCCACCAACAATATTAGGAGTGGGTAAGTTTGCCGGTTGATAGGACTTAGTGGTTGACAGTCCCTCTCGTACAACCATTGGGGGTTGTACACCCTAGTCCAATTGTCTGTAAGTGGGATGGGGCAACCAAGCAGGAGTCCCACTCGGCAAGAGGGATGATTATCATGAATCAAGCTGGGGAGGTCCTCTTGGCTATAGGGGTTCAGCTTGTGGGAATTGGTGATCCTTTGATTGTCGAGATGCTCACCCTCTAGGGGGTTTATTCTCTGGTGCCTGGCGTCCGGGTTTACGGAAGTGAGATTGGAAGGCGACACCAAGGTAGTTATTGCAAAAATCAATCGGCCTGGTACTAGGGATAGCCGGATTGGAGCCCTTCTTGAGGAAGTTGTGCATTGTTTAGCGCTTCATAGTGGGTTTAATGTGCAATTTGTAGGACAGGGTAGTAATAAGGTAACCCACTTGGTGGCTAGAAAATCCCTTTATTTGTACCCGACTATGAGTCGCTTATTTGATTTTATGACCTGGTTAAATTCCAAAATGTAATTATTAATTTTCTAATCAATATATATGATTATCTTTTGTAAAAGAAAATCTAATTTAAACACAAACTAAAAAGTTAGAGTATGTGTATGTCCTAAAACTAAACCTACTTTGTAGGTAATTTGACTTATTTTGAGATAAGAACTCTTCCCTAAGAAGCAGTGTTATTAAAGCCGAGCCGAGCCACTCGGCCCAACCGGTAAAACCGCCATCCGGTCACAAAACCGGCTCGGAACAGTCTAAAAGCCGCTCCGGTTTTATGTAGCGGTTGACGAGCGGCCGATGCGGTTAACCGCTCGTCCGGTTTTTGCCATTCAGCCGTTAAATTTAATTAAAAAAATTGCAGAAAAATTGAAAGTTGAAATAAACCAAAAAAGTCGGGCTCTCAAACTGAATCCTTATTTCCATTTCACAATTTCGAAGGAAGGAGACGAGCTCTGATTAAGAAATGTCCACTATTTATACTGATAACGTTTATTAGTACCGGTTCTCTAACGGTTTTTTAACGGGCTAATGTCGGTTGGACCACTAAAGTGCGAGCCGTTCGCATTACCGGGTCATGCTCCGGTTCGGTTCTGACAACATTGCTAAGAAGAAAAAACAAGAAAATTGGTGGCCTATCCACCCAGCATTCATCCTCCTCCCAATTGCAGGCTACATGAGCCATACTATGGGTTGACCTATTATGGGCCCTTCTAACATAAGCCCACTCAATCCTGTCAAAGCCTAGACCCATCTCCCTGATATCCTTCACTATATGGCCTACTTCCAAGGACGACGTCACTTGGACTTCTATCATCCTCACCACCCTCTGGCAATCAGATCGAATGGAAATGGATCTCATCCGGAGGCAGTGAGCCATTTCCATCCCAAATATCACCACCATGGCTTCCGCCTCCGCCACCTCCCACTGTCCCCTGGTTCTCCTGACCACCACCGCCACGAACCATCCATCTTTGCGTCTGATAATCACCCCCATCCCTGTTCCTTGGTCTGGAAAGCACCCAGCGTCCACCGAGATTGTAAACTCAGCTGATTGGGATAGCCGCCACTCTTCATTTCTCCGCTCCGCCACCTGCTCCACTTCCTGTAACTCTAGGTACTCACTCAACCACTCCATCTCCCTTGGGATGATC